GGCGCCCAACTAGTAAACGAGGCCAAAAGCGAAGGAAACAAGGAGAAAAACCAGCAGAGAGCTGGGCACCGCAACGCCCAACCAGATGAACAGAAGCAGAACAGCTGGCACCACCACCCGAACTTAAAAGAAATCTCAGAATTTTGGAAGGTTTTCGACCCAATCCATCCCCAACTCGTCTTGAAACTTCAAAATACTATAAATATAACCCTATAGAACACTTTGAAAAAAAATATTGAAGGGGACAAGATTCAAGAAATCAAGGAGGCAAAGGCAACTTGGCGAAGAAGATTGATTCAACCCTCTAAAAAATAGTTTAATATTTCTTCTCTTCATGTTATTCTTTATGAATTGTATATATTTCATATTTCATATCATAAACTAAATAATTCTTCTAGGGTTTGATTAGCCAAAACTTGAGGATATGATTTTATTTTATTTTAGTTATTTTTATGAAATTTTCATTTCCGTTTATTTATGTCATTGATTTAATGCTTTCAATTAATTGACCACTAACAGAATGATTAGAAGCTAGTCAATTTCTACACTCGAGATGGAGAATTTATGTGCGATCACAACAATAACACAATTTAGATTTTATGGATTTCGAGAAAAAGTACAGAGTCTATGAAGCTTGTTCAACCTAAGATTCACGATCTTGATAAATCTTGATTTTAATTCAGAATAAAGATATTAGAATTAATTTTTAGAATTAATTTTTACCCGACACTCGAGAGAGGGAGGTAGAATTACATTAGGGTTCTTGCTTATAAATATGGAAAATTGATTTTTTGAAAATCATATTTGACTATTAGGTGAAATCATACCCTAGGCTTTCTCATCTTGATTATTCTTCTACATTGCATGTGTGTTAAATTCGTCATCACATTCATCATGTCAGCTTAGTTAAAACTATTGATTCCAAATCTCATTCATTTAGATAAAATAAGAGCTACACAAACAATTATAGTACTTTGTAGAAATTAAATATCAAACCTTGTGGGTTCGGCACTCTAACTCCATTATTATATTATAAAACATGACACCATACACTTGCGATATATTTACGTTACATAAAGAGCATGACAAGTAATTAGCACGTAACTTCCTTACCTTTTACTATTATTGTGAAAAAAATCCATACCTTTCATTTTTTGGCATTTTCACTCTTATTTCCACATTTCATTACGTAAGATGTCATTTTCATTCATTTTCTCAATTAAAAGATGTGAAATGACGAAAAGACACTTCTTTTTAAATAAAACAAAAAGAAAAAAAGAACTAATTGTAACTATAGTCCCAATTTTTTTAAAAAGTACAAATGAGTCCAAATAAATTATTTTTAATTATTAAAAGGGTAATTAGCATATAATGTCCTACCTTTCACTATTATTGTGAAGGCGTCCATATCTTTATTTTTAATTTTTTTCACTTTCACACATTTGATTGCGCAAACTATCCTTTGATTCCTTTTGATTCATTTTCATTAAATTTTTCAATAAAAAACAGTGAAATGACAATATAAAATGCCAGAAACCTGCAGACATCTCAAATAAAGAAATCATCGAAACCCAGTATTAATATGTACAAGCAAAGTGAACACACACACAAATATGCAGAGTCATAAACATACAGCGAAAGTTCCAGAAGACACAATATGAGAATAGATTGATTCGTGTATTATGTATAACAAAAAGTGCAATCTCTGAAAGAATTGTTACCTTATAAGGATTCCAAAACCCTGGGAGTGAATTGAATTCGAAGGATTCGCATCTCTGGAGAATGAAAGCGTCTCCTCAGATTCAAAAACGTACACCGAAGAACTCAAATGAAATTCAACAATAATGCGCTTTTAATGACTATTACTTTTATCGGCTAGTTTAATCGATTGATGGATCCGACGGTCACGGCTTGTTTTTGAACTACAATCTTTTTAAATTATTTTTTTCTTTCTCCAGACGCCCAGTTTCATTCATCGTATTTTTCATGGAACTAGAAAATTATTTTTCAAGTTCCAACTTTTATCTTGTTTGATAGTCAATTTTTTCTTGACAAATTTTCCATGTTTTCATGGAGCTCTCATCTGTTTCTCATTTTTCATCCATAAAAATGAAAAATATGACTGTTATCTATCACATCAAGCCATCAATTTTGAATTTCTATATCTTGTGTGTGTCTAATAACGATTATATTTTTCATTCTCATTCTACAATAATGATAATCAAACAGATTCCCTTAAACAAAAGGTTGGTGAAACCAGGGAAATGATTTTCCAGATCTTTTTTTTTTTTTCAATTGAAATAAATTCTATCTCTAATTGTAAATAATAATAATAATAATAATAATAATAATAATAATCCATTTAATGGACAATTTTCATGAAAAATAAAGTCAAATGAACACCAAAAAATTCAAAATTTCAAAATTTTTTAGGTGGAAAATTATACCAATCAGATACAATTAATTGACAATTCCCAGGAAAACAATTCTAAACAATTCAATTATCTATAATTCATTTTATTTCCACACAAATTTCATTCTTGTAATCAAACAGACCCTAAGGGTAAAATTGCAAATCCTCCATGATAGTAAAACTCCCTCTTGCTTCAAATCAATATACTATGTGACTGTCACGTACTTATTTAAGTACACTTACAAAATGTTAGGAACTCGGGATGAAATTTACCCTAAAACTACTATTAGAACATTTTCAAAAGATTTTCTTAATACAAAATGCTCTTTATTTTAACAAATTAATTCTTAAAAATAAGTTTCAATAGATTCTATGTTTTAATTTTTTAAAATAGAGAGTTAGTTTGACTATCCAAATTTAAAGAGTCAAGATCACTCTCCAATCTTATCATCTGTTTGAGCCACATTTTTCCAGGATAATGTATTTTGAAATAATGATTCTTTTTAAAAATGTATGATTAAAAAAATAAGAAACAATTTTGAGTTTATATGTAAAATTATTTTATGAGAGAATGTATTTTGAAAAAATGGAGGTCAAACATAGGTTCATAGTTATAAACCCCGTCTGACCCGACCCGGCTAGTCAGACCGAAAAATTCGCAGCCTGGACCCTTGACCGGGCTAGACAAATTAATTTGATATAAATGTATTTGGCTCTTTCAAAATCAAGCTTTGACCGAGTTAACCGGCAATTTACCTAGCCCGATTGATCGGTGTGATTGGGTTTTGAAATCCTATTACAAAATTTTTGGATTTAAGAGAATTGAATATTGGACCTCTAAGAAAAATAAAGTGTTTTAATGTTATTTGTGTGCAATAACTTATATCTATCTAATGAATTATTTATAGTTTTTATAAAAATATGGTCCAACATTTTTTACTTTATTTTATAGATCTAATAATTAGTGGAAAATAAATTAAAAATTTTAATCTGGCCCCTATAATAAAATGTATATTTAATTTTTTATTTTTTTTAATTTTTATGCAATGGCCCGTCGGTTGAACTTGGGTCACTGGTTGAACCACTAACACATTGACCCACTGCATTGTCCAAGTCTATGTTCGGATCGAGTCGACAACTATCCATAGGTTTAATGTACATTAATTGCATTTAATAAATCACAAATTTTAAATTCTATTTTTTAAACTATTCAAACCACATTAAGAGCTTGTTTGGGAGAGATTTTGGGGAGAAAAATTGATTTTGAATAGTGATATGATGGGAAATGTGTGGTTGAAAAAGAAGAAAAAATTATTGATGTGATGAAAAATAATATTTTATTGAAAAATGCGTGGTTCAAAATGAAAATTGATTTACTGTAGAAAAATCTAATCTCTCCCAAACAGGGCCTAAATTCATCGATTATGGACATATAAAAAATTATGTTAAATAAAATATGAGGATAAATCAATAAATATTTTTTGAGAAAACAAAATGAAGAGCCAAAATAGAGAATATTGTTGGAATGCATAAAAAATTTGGCTCTCTAAATTTAAATACTCTCTATAATACATAAAATGTTCTCTATAAATAAAAAGTCTCTTGCAAACGTTCTAATCACCAAATTTAAAATTCAGAATCTTGTGATATTTGGACTGAGTGAATAAATGTCTGGGGCTTAGATAAAAGAGTTTGGAATGTTTAAAGGGAAGATTACATATTCAAAAGTATAAGTTTA